AATGGAGAATTGCACATTCCCATGTAATCAATTATAATGGTGATTTATTAACACCTCCTGATGAAAAACACAGAAAAAATAAACTGACAATAGAGAAGAAGAGAACTATTCGAGGAAATGATGCCTCTGATGATTCAGATATTGATTTTAATGATTAAAGCACAAAATTGGGATTATGATGATTTGAAGTTGTGATGGAAGAGCTTGCATATAAATTTTAGATAAAAAATAAATTATTGTATGAAAGATTAAAAATTGAAATGGGTATCACATATGCTAAAATGCAATTAATTCATTAACATAAGTAAACAACTGAAATACAGCACTTAAATAATACTGACTTATATTTTTTTTACAATTTAATTTTGCAAAATCTTAATATCATTACTCTGATATTGAACTGAGTCAAAAACCGAAAAAAATATTACAAAATTTGATGAAATAGCAAGAAATGAATTAGAATTTTAAATTAGAATTTGTTTTGTGAGATCTGTAATGTAGTCTGGCAAAAAAATCTTCTCACAACCAATTTTATTTGAAAAAATCAAAATGGCTATTAATAAATTTTAAATCTTTGACTTTGAAAGAAGTTTTGTTTTTCAGATAACATTCAATATGCAATGTCTGTAGTGTGGAAAAATCACAGAAAGCATTAAGTTAATAAATAATTCATTTTACCACAATGGTTTAAACATATGCAACCACAATGATTTATGAACAAGAAAGGCTCAGAACTGTATTACAATATTACTAAAATATATTATTAAATAGAAAATGAAAATGAAACATATAATAATTACTATAACTTCATCAACAAGTTTTTGTACAATTCAGGCTTAAATATATTTGAACACAACTTCTTTTTATCACTAACAGTTTGTAACTCTAAAGTACAGGACACTGAAGCCATACGCTAACAACCTCTCTGAAAATCCAATTAGAAAATACATTTTCCTAGCATTGATCTTTTGTTGCATTATCGCAGCAATCTGATATGATTATGTTGTCGTTTTATAATAACTTCAGATGCTAGAAGATTATGCCAAGTGCCTTCCATAAACTTTCTTATAAACATATCTTCAACTGCAGTTCTGCAGGTCGCAAACCGTCTTCTAATTTGATGTGTTCCAGGAGTTCCATGATTTTCTATGAGCTATAAAGTGTGGTGGATTTGCCATTTCGTAGGTAAGAGGCTTATCTTTTTTTAGAGATATTTTGTATCGACCAGACTGCACTTTATTGACAACTGGGGTAGTTGAAATCGTGCGAAGGATATTGTTAGGTGCATTTAATAGCTAGTTTGTTTGTAATGTCCTGTGGTACAGCTTGAAAAAGAATTGTTTCATTTCAAAAAAATGATCTTGCCAATCGAGGTTAGAATTCGAATATGATAATTAACTTACCCGCAACATAATAATTATGGATTAAAAGTATGCTGTTGAATTAAAAAGATTCTTCTTTACTAATCTATTTATTCTTATATAATTGTATTTATGCACACAATTATAAGTAGCCTCGCATTATATTATAGGTTATTCAAATCGCCATTTTTGAATTTGACAATCACAGAATTTTATTGTTGTCGGACAGATGTCGGCAGTTTAAGAAGAAATAATACACTGTTATGCCATGATAATTTTCTTTTCTTTTATTTTTTTTTTACTTTTTTCATTAGATCTCCAAACCGCTAAGCCTGCCTCCATGAAAATTTGATCAATTTCTTCATATTCTAATACAAGTAAAATGTTTTTTGAATTATTAAATCGGACGCTCCGTTCTCTTAAAAACTGAGTTACCGTTTTCGGCACTTTTTGCCCCGTATCTTCGGAACGGCTAGACCTGCCTTCGCCAAAAACTAATCAGCACGTCTCCTTATCAATACGAATCGAATGTTTTTGAATTATCAAATCGTTGATCGGTGTTCTCGGAATCGTCGACTAAAATTTGTATCCGCACACAC